CATGGCAGTGCAGTCTTCGGAGCACCCCCGCCTCCAGCCCTGGTATAACTCTCCCATGGCTGTGTGGGCAGAGCTGCGAAGGGGAGTCAGGGGGCCAATACCACCAGCCCAGGAATGATGTAGAGACTACCACCGGCCTCCAGAGCTGCCACTGAAACCATACAATACAGGTGGCGAACGGGGAGCAGGCAGCAGGAGGCAGCACCGCAGAAGCCAAGCAGCAGGTGGAGGAGGCGGCTGCCGGCGCCTGGCAGGTGATCTGTGGGGAGGGGCAAAGCAGGGGCAGCGGGGACCAAAGAAAGCCCCTCCAGCGATGGACGCGGCTGTTGTGCAGCAGCGACGGAGGCCTTTCCTCATCACTCCCCTGGCTCCAAAACGGGGAAGGGAGATTGAGCCTCCCCCGTCCATCCTCCATAGCATGGCAGTCTGGCTCGGGAGGGGAGTGAAAGGGAAGAGGCGGGTGGGCAATCGGGTCATTGAATGGGGGGAGAGGTCGCGAAGCGGGGAGTGGCCTGGCTGCAGGGGCCCTGAGGTGCATGGGTGCGGGGCGTGTGGGGCAGCTCCACACACTACCTGCCTCGCCTCACCTCGTGGCGGCACTAGTGCGCCGTGCAGTCTCCTGCCCCGTTGCAGCAGCGAGCAACCAGACGGTGGGACAGAGTGGGTGGGCTCTTAACTAGGGCTTATTTTGGGGGTAGGGCTATTAGGCGCATGCTAAAAATCATGCTAAGGCTTATTTTCTGGGTGGATCTTACTTTCGGGGAAACACGGTAATGACTTCCAGACCACCAATTTTTTAAAGCAAGACACTCACTGTCCAATAGGGTTTGGTTTTATTCTCAAAATAGCTGAAATGTATTGGCATTCCTATGCTTGTTGAAGGTGACATTATCAGCTAAATCTTGATATGAAGATTTGGCCTATTAAGTGGGCCAAATTCCAGGGAAGGTAACATTTTTAATTGACACCCTGACCTCTGTCCACGGGGACTGTACGGGGATCCCATCATAATGTCCAACAACCACCACCAACCCCCCCCCCCAAACCCAGAACCATGTTTTCCTAACATTATTCTCCTTAGGTGCTACCACACAAGAAAGGCATATGCCAAGTTTCTTCCAGATGCAGGTCCTTAAGACTTCTGGGAATTACCATCTTATTTCTTTTAACAAATAATCAGAGGGTCAGTAAAAGACCAAACCATTAAAACGAGGAAGACTTAAATGCTTTATTTCATCATACTTTATGGTATATAAGAAATGGACCTCAAAATTTTCTAATTTTCCAAAGAAACAACTAACTTCTAGATTCTAGAAGGCCCTATAAGCCCTGAAATATATATCCTCCACTGGTTTGGATTGAGTTACAATACACACCTCCTGAAATCCTTTCTCCTAACTAACCATGATCACAATGGCATTTCAGGAACTTTTATCTATTTCTTGGATTGGCTACACCATGTGCAGTGTGGATGCAGAATCAAAAGCTGAATCAGCTTTTTCCTGATTTAGAGGTTCTGGCTGAAGTTCTTTGAAAACCACTGTCTTATCTTCAACTGTATGCAGAGCTTAAGTAGTTTCAACATTTGTAATGAATTAGGATAATAACACAGAGAATTGAAATTCTTGCACAATTCAATCACACATAAAGAAAAACAAAGACGAAGTATGCTAATAAGATTTGTTATGGTATTCCAATAAAAATACATTCATACAGAAATATAACAATTCTGCAAAAAACAATTTCAAATACAATTTTGTACAACATTTTTTACAAAAATCTTACAAAGCAATTCTTTAAATAGGGTACTTCCAAAAACAAACATTAAAAAAATTATGAATAGAATGTATTTTTCTGAAATTTCAAGCATTTTTTTTCAGCTTGATTGAGGCTCAGTTATCACCTGAACAAAATGTACTCATTTAACCACAAAACTTAATTCTAACTACTGCAAGGTTTTTTTTTTTGTCAAATAACAAATTATTATGGCTAAGCAGAAAACATTGCAAACTTACCCTCTCTAATACATATCCTGAAAAAGAAAAATTTGCAGAATTGCCTTGATCAAAGGGTGAGGATTTCAGTTCATACTTGCAGACAGGTATTTCCAGATCTACAGTATTTTTTTGACTATGAAATGACATCTCTCAATGCAGTGGAAAAGAAAAGTACCCTGCATGTATGAAGCACCATACATCTATTAGACTTCCATAATCTGTAGAAGTTTTCTTGGGGTAGTTTTTAAACTTAAAAAGTGCTTTTTCAAGCATATAAAAATCAAAATGCAATGCAGATAAATGTAGGCCTATGTATCCTTTAGCCTTGGATAAACTGGATTTCAACATGGTTAGAGGACTATTAATTTCACCATCATTTTCAGGAAAGAAGCTGCCCCCAAATAGCAATAAATAAGCTATATTCTTATGGAAGGCAGCTTGGAAAACACATTGAATTAATGTTTGGGGAATGACTATTTCTAACATCTCATAAAACTGCCTTGTGAATTCAGCTAAGAGGTAAAATACCCGTAGGAATAAATTCACCATCAAGGAGCAGATTTCTACATCTTCTCAATAAGCTTAGTGGACAGAAACTGATAGGTTGGGATTTATTTAGTCTTAGCGGAAAGTGTCCATTTTTAACTACCCCTCAATGGATTGCTCCCATATGATGTGGAAATGGCTCAACAGGCACACTTAGACCTTGGTGTTCCAATTAAATGCCCTTTTGGAGAGATGAAGAGCTCACTAACCACCATCAAGGAAAGCATGAAGTAGCAAGAGAGAAAGTGCAACGCAGCAAAAACAAAAACCTACAGAACAAAAGGCCAAAGAAAAAGGATGAACATGCTACTGGGTGAAAATAAGAAGAAGGGGCTAACTTTCTCAGGGCTCCTAAAAGGACCGTCTTTTCTTTAAAAGTAGACAAGTGGCTTGCATTAAACAAAAAGAATTGGAAGAAAACCAACAAAAAGGTCTTCCCAAATCACTCAAGTCCTGCTGTTGCCCCCAAAAGGGCTCCAGTGCACTTCATTTGAACACTGGGAAATTTTTCATATGCAAAAGTGCCTATCAATAAGGAAGTAACTGCCTTCTCTTGCAAAAATTGTGTACAGAATGAAACCCTCACCTTTTCAGGTTTCTACCAAACTCTTCCAGAAGTTTACAAATAAAAACCCCCGACTTTTATTTGCTTCTTCTCTATGAAATGCAGGAAAACAAGATGGTTCCTCACAGGCTATGACACTTTCTAGCAAAGAACTCAATACAATCCTTAAAAATCTTATCTATATATTCATAGACGTACACACCCATGCACAAATATACATGCACATACTCACAGCTACAGATACTATACAAATAGATATATACACACATTATAGATATCCTACCCACTTGATAATTTCTATTTTTTGTATTTTTTGTTTCCTTTCCATTTTAATTAAGGAGAAGGTAATATACAGGTGTAGACATTTGTGCCTTTTAAGCAAATCTGGGGGGGGGGGGGTTGTAGTTACACCTGCACTTCTAAAAAAAAAATGCATGAGCAAAATGCAACATCCTGAGTACAGGACTTTTTTGGTGGGGGGAAGGAACCGTTAGTTTTGTTTTCATTAATTTCTTGAATGGGAAGAGGGAGGGATGCAGGAAAGGGACAGGTCGTGCAACATCAACCTTGTAAAAAGATGGACCCAGGGATGCGTTCATTGCTAGAACTGGGTGGATTATGCCATGAAATTTTCAGTACAGATGTTTATATGGAGGCTTCTCTACATGGAAACGCTGAGGATTACCTTGAACACCAGCTGATGGTCTTCTCACCTCTTCATAATATACATTAGCTACAGCACAAGTGTCAGGTGAAAAGAGAGCCTTAATAAAGCATATATCATTCATACCCCTGTGTAAGACCTCCCAAAAGAGAAGTTCAATTTGCATAAGGCACCATTATTAAGGTTAACAATACATTAACAGGTAGAAAACCAAAAATTAGACCCCAAGGCATAAATAAAAGACAAGAAGGTAGGTGTTGGAGTTGGAAACAGTTGCACGAGTTTCTGTTTTTTTAAAAAAAATAAATCCATTTCTAACCTACAGTGGTTTTATCCACCCAACAGGACAAAGTAAAAATAATTCAATGAAAAAAACCACTATTTGGGTTTGGTATGTTATGTAACATTAAACCAATTGCATTGTAGCAGCTTTGAACTGGAATTGAGAAAGAGAAAAATAGCAGTCCTGATTAAAGAAGGGAAAAGCATCTAGTTCTCCACAACCATGCAATAACCTTTGTATTATAATAAAGTTACAGGTTGTGTTATACTGTAAATGCACAGCTTATACAATGGATTACAAATGAGCTCTGTAGCAAGTCATACAAGCTACTGGAGACATTGCACATTTAATAGCTGGACGAGACACCAAAAACTCCTTTCACACAAGATAGGGGCACATACCGACATTTCTTTGTTCTGATTTTCCTTCCCTCCCTTCCATCTCCCCCTTCAGAAACCAAAAATAATAAAAGGTGCAGACACCATTTTCCCCTCCTCCATCAAAAGGATGAACAACCTTCTATCTTACATAACATTCCTCACATGTACCACCACCTCAAAATAAAAATAAAATTTAAAAAAATCCCCCAGACAACCTTTTCTTATGGTTAGAAGACATCCACAAGGAACATTTTTTCTTTTTCTTTTAAAAAAATGTGCCTCAGCATACAGTCGTCCAGTAGATCGTCCATAACACTCAGTCATCCAATCATTAACACTCTAAGTGCACTCACAGCAGAAGTTGTCAGAAGTCATTTGGAAGGTTCAGTCCCCAGTTCTGGATACCTGCACCATATGCTCACTGCAGCTGTTTCTTACATGACTTGTCTAGCCCTCTAAAGACCTTCCAAGGAAGAGAAGGTCTAGAGGCCACTGAGTTAGGGTGCAAAATGGCATACTTTGGCTGGAATATGCATCCCTTCTTCTGAGACCAGCTTGACCTCAAAGCCTCTTAGTCCACAGGATTCAAGCTTCCACTCATTCAGAGATGCCTCTTCATGTGAAGAGCCAGATGATCAGACCTGGAGAAGCACCTGTCCACCAAGAAAAAGACACTTAAGGTCAAGCTTCAGTGAGGTATCAAGAAATGAGCTGGATTTAAGACAAATTAGTGAAACTCTGAAATTGCAGACAGCTCAGAAAGACAGTAATTCCAGTTGGACAACTTGACTACAAGGTTCTTCAGCTATTTCTTAGCCTTGATGCCATTCTTGTAAAATGGGGATATTACTCACTTTCCCAATTCACAGCTGATGCAAAGTGAAATGCTATCAAACTGTAGTTCAACTATGCACCATGCTTAATTACAGACATCCGCAATAGGCAGATTAACTGCCATTACAATTAATCCAGCATAGCGAGGTACTGTCTGCTAAATGTGCAAAGCACTGAAAGGATCACTCTGTCATGTGGCTGGAATGCAAGATACTGCATTGTAGCTAAAGGTTTGCAAGTGAACTGACACTTCAACACAGTGATTGTGATCTTGTCAGTCACCAGCCAAGTAATCATCTACCTTTATTATTAAAAGAAGCTTAGATCAGCATGTTAACACTGCAACAACTCATGGAAAGAGGAATGCACCAAAGGTCATCCCTACAGCCTTGTATCTGATCAACGACTTTAACTTATTCAAATTCAGCACATTAGTCAGTACTACATAAACTTTCTGACCTTCTATCTCCAGATCATGACAGGACTGATGGGAGAAGTAGTTCAGTTCAATCTGAAAGACTACAGGTTCTCTACATCTCAGTCTATGGACTGTATAAAAGATCAGTGGCAAAAGTGGAAGCTTTTAAAAAGTGCTCAATGTCACTGAATCCACCTAATTAAACTTGTGGCAACATTCATACATGACTTAATACACGATTCTGAGGAGAATTTAACCTCTCCTCCAGAAATCCCACAGATGCCTCCTATCAATTTGTTCTACTGCTTTCTTGATCAGTTAGAAAGTTGCCCTTTTATTTATCCAGAAACTGTGCAGAAATTACTTCAAATACAAATGTTCCAATTTCATTGCAAAGCTGGAACGCTTCCAGGAAAGTTGGAAGTGTTGAAACACTTCTGGCAAGGTCAAAAGAAGGACATTTCAAATTTGAGATGTTTGACCACCAAAAGCTTTGCATACCTCTTTCAATATGCAAGTGGAAATCTGTAAGAACAGAACTTCCCAAAACGGAGGATTAAATAATAAATAAAAGAGGCCCTTTTTACGTTTAAGACAATATTAGACTATTGCTTGTCAATGGAGGTACATGCAATTTGCTTCTTTTTAAGCACTGGGGAATAAAATGATATAAAACAAGATTCCATTCACATACCTGTCACAATGATTACATTTAAAGGGTTTTGCACCGGTGTGCTTTCTAAAATGTCTGGTTAGCTCATCACTCCTTGCAAAACGCCACTCACATCCTTCCCATGAACATCTATAAGGCTTTTCTCCTGAAAAAAAAAACCCCACCATTTACAGTCATCATTATCCAGCTAGATAGCTCTCCAAAGAGGAATTTTGAGTCACTAAGCATTAAAAAACACACCCCCAAAATAGGAAACAAAGCTGCTCATACTAATTTATTATAGGCCACTAAGTACTTCCAAGAATGCTGGTGGAAAATTTGCTTTGGTGCTGACAGCTTTGCTCTAACAGCAAAGCATCATATCCTGAAAAAAAGATTCCAGTAATCTAAACTTTCTGGAATGCTCTGAATAGTAAGGATTATGACAATGATTTTTAAAAAAAAAATTAGGCCTGAAAATCCATCATTTAGCTAGTCACTAGGTTCAGGTAAGTTGCTTTCAGATGATTAAGTTTATAAATGCATGAAAAATGGCTTCTCCATTTCTTTGGGCCTCAACTAAAGGAGAAGTGTCATTGGGGGTATAAACCATATATTGGATTCCACTGGAGTTCTGTGGCTAATAAATCTAAATAAATAAATACATTTTGCTAAAACATAGTTGCAAACAAAGGTACATACAACTCAAATAATCTTATAGGTAACAGCTGTAATAAGAAATTTTACACCTTCAAACGTTTCAGCCTACCATCACATTAGGCGAATGGTTTTGGTTTCAACCATTAGTAATGGTTGAAACCATTCAACAGTAGTAATGGGAGACTTTAACTACCCTGATATCAACTGGGAGACAAACTCTGCAGCAAGTAGGAGATGAAACAGATGCCTAACCAACCTAGCTGACAACTTTGTCATCCAAAAGGTAGAGGAGGGAACTAGAGGAAAAGCTATACTGGACCTAAATCTTACTAACAGAAAACAAGTGATAGAAGGAGTTGAAATTGCCAGAACTTTGGGCGAGAGTGACCACATAATACTGGAATTCAATATAATGCAAACACAAGCAATAGAACATAATCCAACCAGTGTCTTAAACTTTAAAAGAGCTGATTTCAACAAACTTAGAGAGAGCTTGGGAAGGATTCCATGGACGAAAATCTTAAAGAGGAAAACAACCAAGAAGTATTGGAAAGTCTGAAAAATATGATCATAAAAGCCCAATCAAGCACAATACCACTGAAAAAGAAAAAGAAATCCAAGAAGAAACCAGCATGGTTGCACAAAGATCTCTCTGATAAACTGAAAGACAAAAAGGACAAGTACAAAAAATGGAAAGAGGGACAGACACATAACTAAAGCAAAGTATCAGCAGATAGCCCGAAACTGCAAAGATGAAGTCAGGAAAGCAAAGGTTCAGAATGAACAAAGACTTGCAACAAAAGTCAAAGATAATAAAAAAAAAGTTTCTTTCAATATATAAATAACAAGAAAAAAGTCAAGGAAACAGTAGGTCAAGTAAAGAGAGAAAATGGCAAGTAAGTAACAGGCAGTAGAGAGCAAGCAGAGCTGCTTAACTCGTTCTTTGCATCAGTCTTCACACAAAAAGAAACTATAGTGCAACATACCAAAAACATAACTGTAAAAGACAGACTAGAAATAAATAAATAATAATAATAATAATAATAATAATAGTAGTAGTAGTAGTAGTAGTAGTAGTAGTAGTAGTAGTAGTAGTAGCAGTAAAGTTGGAAGGGACCTTGGAGGTCATCTAGTCCAACCACCTGCTCAGGCAGGAAACCCTATACCATTTCGGACAAATGGCTGTCCAGTCTCTTCTTAAAAACCTCCAGTGTTGGAGCATTCACTGCTTCTGGAGGCAGGTTGTTCCACTGGTTAATTGTTCTAACTGTCAGGAAGTTTCTCCTTAGTTCTAGGTTGCTTCTCTCCTTGCTTAGTTTCCACCCGTTGCTTCTTGTCCTGCCTTCAGGCGCCTTGGAAAATAGCTTGACACCCTCTTCTTTGTGGCAGCCCCTGAGATATTGGAACACTGCTATCATGTCCCCCC